AAGACAACCCAGAATGAGTTTTGAACAAAATAAATACACCTTTTGGATGGCAAAAGTGAGACTGAGAATAAGAGAGAAGAGTACTAGAGTGAAAAGAATCGTCATTGTTGATTCTTAGGTTTGTGAGGAGAAGATTGTTTTTGTTGCTTAGTTTTGTGAAGTGTGAAGAGAAGAAGATGAAATAACTAGTGCGAACAGCCAAAACCCCAGGAATAGCAAACTGCCAAAGCCCAGGAATCCATTCCACAGGTTTTTGGAAGTATTCCATGCTCTACTAAAAACAGTTGTTTCTTACCATTCCGATTTTTTCGTTTTTATGAATGATAGCAGTATACGACAGCTCCATTTCTGAGAGGAAATGTTGAGAACTTACTTGAAAAACCCAAAAACCAAGCCAGGAATCCCACCCCGTGATTCTGAGAAATCTAAGGGTCCTCCATGCAGTGGGATCAGTCTCCTTTGTATCCAAACAGATGAGATATGGAAATCCTATATCAACAGAACAGCAGTGGAAATCATCAATTCAATTAAGGGTGCAAAGGCGAAAATTTTGCTAGAGGCATACGGGAGGGAAAGACCGTAGAAGGAGAGAACAATTTGGGGTAGGGGGTTGGCACGGGTAGGCCCCGGTGGGCTGACAAGAAGCATCAAACACTTGGTGGAAATTAGCAGTTGGAAGGAAAAAATGTCAAGTGGAAATTTGGGAGATAAAAACACAAAATTTTTGTTAGCATTTGTTTAATTGTACTGTACCTGTAATTGGTCCTTTTTCTCTCGTAGAATATACCCAGTCTGCACATATTAATCCATTTCAATACAAAAAGGTAGGATTTGCTTCACATGTCAGCAGAGTATGGATCCCTTTAACCATCAGCAGTTCGCATCTAATAATGCATTAAATAATATAATATAGAAATTCGACTACCTAATTAAGAAAATTAAAAGCTGAACACTGTCAATCTTATCTTCTCCTCTACAATGAAAATGGACACATTTTGACTAAATGATAGTGTCACGCCCCAGAACCCAAATCCGAGAGCGTAACAGACACCGTACACTTATGAGACGGGTCCCACAAGTGTACCAGACTCAAAACTTATCCAACGCACATCTGACATAACTTAAATCAAATATCTCAAAATAATGAATCTACTTACAAGAATAATCTAAACTCAAAATCTATATCCAAATACTATAGCTAGCCATTTAGCTCGTCACTCCCCTTGCTTCCCACGTCTCGAGTCACACTACCTAAAATGGTGGATGAGGAAAAACTAGGTGAGATAACTCAGTAAGTAAAATATGGAGTGCCCTTAATTAACTTACAACATGCCAACATATGCAATCACAAAAAACGGATACAGTACGGAAACGAAATAGACGTCTCCTCTATAGGTGCCACTAGCAGGATTACAGAAACGAACCGCTTCTATCAGTAACATGTCGACATGTGCTAGTGTTTAACCCCCACTAGCAAGATTACAGAAATAACATGACCATATCGGAGACAAAACAGGCAAAAGTTAGTAGAAAATCATCAGGACAGTCAAATAAACTTCAACCAGGCATGCTTAAATCAATAAAAAGAATAATAATCTTATTTCAAATCAATTATGCTTATTTTGTATAAAACGGGTTTAGTCCCGCCACCACTTCAAAAACAAATCAAAACATGCTTTTAAAAACTGTACGGGCATTACCATAAATTTACTTACCTCACTTGGCATAAACAGGAAACTCGACCCCAGAGTTCTAAGCCACAACAGCACCTAGTGTTCCAAATAAACATGTTCAGACCTCGCTAGAATATTAACACAACATTGCAATTTATGTCAATCTCTCATGACCGAACACCTCTAATTTTATTCTCATATAGAACTAAGCATTTCATCCACTTTATTATTGCCGGCAAAACCTCAAAAATACAATATTCATTTATTTATTTATTCTTTTCTTCTTTCCGAATTTTAACATTAATCCGGATTGGGTATACATATATATACACCAATTAAATACACACATTTACACATATTTATAGCTTTCCAACTCACGGGCAAACAATGGGGAGCATGGTTTTTTATTCAATTTTCCATCTTTGGCAAAGCAGTAGCTAATCAAGGAAATTTTCATAATTCGTTGCCACAATTTCCATCTACCCGTAATCAATCAAACAATTTCCTCAGGATAACTAAAATAGCATAAAAACAACTTCAAATAGCAAAAATGATTCCCGGGACAACTGCACAGAATTCTACCCGAATTAGCAACCCAAAACCTATTTTATGCTACCCACAATTATCCCATGTTTCTGCAGAAATTCGGACAGCACAACAGAGGGTTTTCAGACAACACAGGGCAGCAACAAATTGATAAAATTCGACAACACAAGGCAGTAATTAATTGATGAAATTTCAAGCTTGGAGGGTTGTTAACTTACCAGAATATTTCCAGCAATAGAAGCCGGATCTGGCGAGCTTGGCAGAGATCGGGAAAGGGAAGGGATGTCATGGGAGCTACCAAAATTGAAAGAACAAGAGGAAATTAGGGTAAACTCAACCTAATTCAAGGTTAAAGAGAGGGATTCATGCTTGAATCTTACCAGAAAAAGACCAGAAATCACGGATAGCAGAAGCCGACGGACAGCAAGGGGAAGAATAGCGCAGATCTGGGATTTCTCTGAGTTGAGAGGGAAGATTCTAGGTCTAAATCTTGTGATTGAACAAGAAAAGGAAGGAATTTCCTCAAGATCTCACCGGCTTTTCACGGGAGAGAGAGTCGGCGGCTTGGGGGCTTGTCGGGGGAGGAAGGAGAGGAGCAGAACACGCGGCTCTGATGAGGAAGAAGGGAAAGAAAGAAAAAAAAAAGAAATAGAAAAGAAGCTGATCCTTATCCTAATTTTTTTTAGTCCCTCAACTTTTGAAAATTTGACTATTAAACCCCAAAACAATATTTTTCCTCAATAAATCCCTTACTCAACTTTAATATTCTAGAAATTTTGAGGTATTACAGATAACCAACTCATCACATGTGTGTGGAAGAAAGATTAATACCGTTAACATTATCTCCTCTACTACTCTCTCTCTCTCACTCTCCTTTTCCCCTTTCTTTTTTTTCTTCTACTAACCCTCTGTTCAAAAATGATAATATAACTTAATTAATTTAAAGTCAAGTTATATTGAGTTTTATAAAAAAAATAAATTTTTTTAATATTTATCTTTTTACTTATAAAATTTAAATTTAAAATCTTGTTAAATAAAATAAGTTTTTTTACTCATATTAACAAATTGTTGGTCCCTACCCTCCTTCCTCCCTAATTTTTAATGTTGTAAACCACTTCCAAATCCCAAATTTGAATCCATATTAGATTAATCACAGAAAAAAGAAGAAGAAGAAAAAGCCATTATCATTGCTTTTATAGCAATAAGACAAATATATCTCTGCACTTGTTATAATATTTACAATATGAGTACAAAATGATGGATTTGCTAGACCTACTACCATTTTCCTGTTCCTTTCTCCTGTTTGTCTGCTCCTAATCTCTCAGCACTGCTTGAATGGCTTTAGGGTTTGTTTGGTTCACAAAAAAAAAGACTTTATTTTGAAAATATTTTTCGAGGAAAATATTCTTTTTTAAAAATTATTTTTTGTTGTTTGGAATAGTTTAGAAGATTTTTCAAGAAAATATTCTCTGTTGTTTGGTAAGGAAAAATCTTCAAAATTTCTCCAACATTACTTCATACAATTTAATCCTTATAATTTATAAAATTAACTAGAAATAATAACACTTCAAAAATTCAAACCATTAAAACTTCAGAATATTCAAAGATAAGATTCATCAAAATAAATGAATAA